CAAATGTAATTCGAGTAAGTAATAATTATCTAAGCTTACGAGTTGAAAACGCGTCTACCTTATGGATGACCTAGATGTAAACTAATCCTATTTGAGAAAAAATTGTAATTAATGGTCTCATTTTATTCGTTATATGAAAGATATGAAAAATTGTTGAATCGAGAAAATAAGAAGAAACAGAAGAATTCGAAGTGACCAGTTCAAAAACACGGAAGAATCTGAAACTAAAGATTGGAAGACTCTACAAGACTCCAACAGATATTAAAGTTTAATGGATAAAATGTCTGAAAAATTTGGAATTCGATGTGAAAAAACGGAAGTATCCAAGAAAAGCACAAAAAAGAACGAACTACGTACGAAGAAGAATGGACCAAGAACGAAGGAGAACGAACCAACTTCGAACAAGAACGATCAAGCATGAAGAAGAACGAACCACGCGCGGAAAAGAACGAACCAACCACGAAGGCAAATAAACCAACCACGAAGAAGAATGAACCAAGGCTTAAGCATCTTAAGAACGTGACAAATTCAATTGTTAACCTGAGCAATAGAAAAATTTGTGGAGGAACAGTTACGAAGAAAAAGTTGAACTTGATATTTCAATTACCTACTAGCGTAAATCAGGAATGCGAAATATAATAATTTAGAATATAGAATAGTAATATAGAAATATAGAATTCTTGATGTCATACTTTCAGTTGTTGAAGGTATAAAAATTGTGATATACGAGTATAATAGAAGAATTCAAATAAATTGAAAAACCCGAATAATCTGAAGAATTCGGAGCATCCCAAGTATTTAAAGAGACCAAAGAATCTAATGAAGATAAAGAATAAAGAAGTCTTAAAAATCTGAAGAATTCCAAGAAACTTAAAGAAACTAAAAGATATTCAATAACCCGAACGGCATGAAGTATCCAACACATCTGGAGTATTAGAAGGGATTTAGAGGGGCTAAATGATCTCAAGAGTCTGAAGATTCCGATGAATCTGTGAAATAAATGACAGAATCCCTCGCAGAATACGCAGCATTTTGAAAATTTGATGGATATGAAAAATGTACAAAAAGAGGGACATTCCAAAAGATCTAATTGAGCTATACTCTGTTTTTTAACTAGGAAGACGGATTTAAAAGTTCCCGCAAAAAATCTAAGTTTCTATTGGCTCGCGCTGCGCCCGTTTTACACCCAGGTAAAATTGCTATTGACATGATTTAACTGTCAAATTTAATCGCGATTCTCGTCCTTTAACTGTTGTACTTATTTTTGAGTTTTTGTGTGTTCTGAGTCCATTTGCATAAATTTTAACAAAAAAAACAGTTCATTTAAGAACTAAAGTTCATATTTCGCGTCGTAAGTGTACTGGCATTAGTGATGGATTCAACTCCAAGTTCAAGTACCAGTAAAGCAAGCTTGTCTCCTTTGAAAAAACGTAGTCGCTTAAACTTGGGTCATTTTATTAGTCTCCGAGAAGCAGTTTATTATAAACAAATGTCTGATACTCCGGATATGAATTTTGGTACGCTTGTGTTGAAGATTGCATCTACCACAGGTAACGTAAATAATGATGTAGGTATATATTTGGTTATTAAAGTATGACACATATCATATTTACGAGTTGCACGATCTACAGTATACCAGATAATTAAAGAATATCGAAGTACTGGGATTGTTACCCCTTCGAAACGTTCCGGTGGTCATAACGCTGTTGCAAATGTGAGCTCTGACGATTGGTGGAATTGTGTGCAACACGTTATTAAGGAAGAAAATAGGGTGTGTAGATTGAATGGCCTAATGGGTACACTTATAGACCCATTAATTATTTCACTCCGATCGGAGGACAGTGACAGTTTTAGTGAACTTTCGGAAGACAGTGACCAAATCGCTTATACATAAAGCAGTGAACTGTTCTATATATATAATAATACGAGTATAATTCCATTATTTTGAATTTGTTCAATAACTTAACATTTGTTGTAAATTGTAAGGTGGATTGTGTAGTATTACAACTGATAAAACATTTAAAACTACAATTCAAAATAATGTTTCAAAGGCCAAAAAATGTATGCAGGATGATTACCTATTATCAATGTATTACCTATTTATTATAATTCGCTTTTAAAAGTATGATGTATGCATAATATAAAGACGTTCCTACCAAATAATAACCCAAAAGCATAAATAATGAAATCTATCCAAATGTGAAAGAAAATCTCATCACGCAACCCACAATACATGTCTGTATAAAATGAGTCTATTATTTTTGTTACTAGATTCTAGTGACATTTCCAGTGTAAATCAGGTTTTTAAATCCGTCTTCCTAGTTAAAAAACAGAGTATCAGAGTATAAACAATTTGCATAGTAAGAAATCGAGAAATGGAATAATTCAAAGAATTTGAAGAATATCTGATGAACCTGAAGAACACGAAAGTAAAAATTAAAAGAATTTAGTAATACGCGGAAATGGAAAAAGTTAAAGGATCTACAGGATACAAAGGATCCCAGGAATCTGACAAAATCCAAATAATCAAAAACATTTGGAAAATCTTACGAATAGGTGTTGTAGGTGAAGTTCATGTAATTTGTGAAATATCGAAAGAAGTGGACAAAGAATTCACACAGGGTGGATTTCATTTAAAAGATTGTAACGAAGCACCCGTTTTTCGTTTTAAAGTTGCATACCTGAAGTTATGACCACACCGTATATTTGAGGAGTTGACCAGTTCTGCTTAACACCCGGTATCTAAAAGCGTTTTAAGTTAGGTGCTTCGTTACGAAAAGGGTCGTACCGAAAGTATTTCTGATAGTTCTAGGAGTTGAAGATAGAAGCTCTTGTAAATGATTTAGTTTCTAGAGTTGTGTTTCAGCCGCCGCGACCTTTAGACCGACTCAAGAAGTTCCAATTAATAGTAGGTGTTAATTGGACGATCAATTTTAGAAATTTCAATCCGGCCAATTATGTAAGTGAAATTAATAGTAGCTAAATCATGTGTTGCAGTATACGTATTTCCACATAGTAGTGTGGGGTATCAAAAAAAGCTCTCTTAATTAATTTGAATTATAAGACAACTTACAGATTTTTAGGAAATCAGCAGGCTGCACGATTAATTAATTAAAGAAGTTGCAAATTTTGGACGTTCTTATCCGAATACCATGCGTCGCATCGTCTGAAAAAAACGTCGATCCCAGTTGTTTAGAGGGAATCTTTCTGTCTTTGGCATCTTCACAAAGTTAGCTTTTCCGTAAATTTACTTTGGCAACCATCGGATTTTACCTTTGGCTGTTGTAACCCAAAAGTAAGATCTTTTCTGCCTTTTGCATCTTCGCACGTTTGTAAGTACCGCAATTTTGTGTAAATTTATGTTGCACTCATACCGTTTAATTTTTGCTTTTACATTAAGTTTACCGCACCGTATCTATAGCTTTTGCTTTTTCTTGCACAATTTTTACCGCTCCGTTTAATTGCAAGGTAATATTTTTGTTACTTTCCCCTTTCATTCATAATTATAAGAGGAAGATATTGTTTTGCTTCCCTGTATTTGCTTTCCCGTAGATACCGCTACCGAATCCGATTATTTACTGTTCCCGCTTAGGGAAATCGCTGTACGCTTTAATTTTGTTCTAGCAGCCGCTCGCCGCTTGCGCCTTATAATAAGGATCAAGGCCGTACATTTGACGGTGCTCGAGTTCGTCCATCCGTCCGCCTGTCCGTCTGTTCCGCCGACGAAACACCCCGGTTGCCGCCGACTGCCACTACTTTCGTCCGCTCACATGATTTAGTGAATTTATTTATTTGTTATGTAAATTAAATTATAATCATTATTCTGCTAACGCTTATTTAATTTTTCATACCTTTTGCGCACGGACTCATTACCGAAGTTCGTCGCAAGATGAACCACAACGAGGTTCCTGACATTGTTAGTAAAATGATCAACTTTCTACAACAATATAATGCGATAAAAGTAAATGGTGTAACGGGAGCCCTTTAATTTAATTTTTGAAAAATCTTTTCGAGTATTTGTGGACTAAAGTTCGTAGATACAGTGCTATCGAATTATTTGAGTACGATGGATTAAGCAGTGACTAAGTCTTGCGATAAGCTGCAGTTCATGAGAAATAATATACGGTAAGATACAAGTGAATCAAATTTGGTCGTTCGTTTTGGAACCGTCGTAGAGCTCAGCTCGGGGCAACTCCCGTTTTGAGATCAAGTCAAAGATGTAATTAAAAGTGACGCAAAATCGACCGTCAGTTCAATAAATTCGAATAGCTGTAGTTGATCGATTTTAAAACTACGCGAAAATCGTTAGCACAGAATCGTCGTAACGCATTTTTTAAATAAAGCATTGAGAATATAAAACCGCCTCAGTGCGAGAAAGTTGATTTGACGTCGTGGAATACATATTCAGAAAGGGTTAAGTAACGCTATTGGCGAAGGCAGATTTTTGGTGAGAATCACGATTCGTGATAAACATCGTCGCGAAAAATTCAGTAAAAGTAAACTCTTTCGCTATACCCAGCGTGCGGTAGACTATGCATTTAGAACTATCAAAAATTATAAAGGTATGAGCACACTTTTCCGGCGAATAAATAAGAGTTAAAGTGACAAACATTCTAATTCGGAAGTGGAAGTTAACAGAAACAAATTAACACAGTTTAAACGTAATTGAAATAGAATTTATTTTGAGCTAGCCGTCGGTGTGGAAAAAAAATTCATCATTGCAGTAGAAAGTTAATTTAATTAATACGATCAAAGGTTGTTCACCCCTGTATCAGTTACAAAAAAGCCTATCGAGAGAAACGGGGGTCCAGTGGAAAGAGAAGGGACCAGGGTGAGAGGTCTACTTCACTTCCACAACAGACCAATCCGAACTGTAATCGAATATGTTCCCGCACCACACAGAAAGAAAAGTTTCGATACAACAAACAAGACAGCACACTCAAGACTAAAGTAAAGTTTCATAATCTGAATATGTCGGGCAATTGACAACGGATACATACCATGAGTAAACTTTTCTTAATTGACTTTTCGCCAAGAGATCTTCTTCTAGCGGGCTCGTCGGAATTCATCTTTAAGACGAATCCCCCTCGTGCATCGTCTACTCTTCGATCGCGCTTTTCAGTGGGATCCGCATTGGCACCTTCGTTGCTTCGTAACGATGTCAGGGAGGCTCTTAGGGTTTTATTTCGATATTTTGACGCTTTACCAAATGGAGCGCTGTTTCGGACTCCATACCCGTGACGCATTCCACGCAGCCATTGTCCTTGATACGTTCCTTTAAAAGAAAAGAAATATGTTAGTGTAAAGTTGCCAATAGTAAAAATCTCATAAATTTGGCTTGTTGTTCTGCAAGTACATGGAATATTTTCCATTTTGTCTGAAATTTGTGTATAAAAATGGTGTCAATACTAATAACGTGATAGAATGTCTAATATAACGTGATCTAATCATACAGGACTTTCATTTCAAAATGAAGCAACTATTGTACGAGTAATTTGTAATTTTGATAAAAAAAACACTTCCGTTTAGATATCTAGGGGGAAGGTTTATCTTACTTTTAGCATTCATTCGGCTACCCCCACTTTAATAAATGTGTTATTTGTTGTTCTGTCACCTCGTCTGTTACGGTTGCAGATCATCTTCTAAAAACACCTGGGAAAATGGCTGTCTTGTAACAAAATACGCTCAACTACGTAACTGTGATACACGAAAAGTCACGATTAACGTCTTCCTCTGCTATTTAAAACATTCTTCCCTCTCTCAGTTCCGTTCCCCCTTATCAAATTTAAAGCATCGACGAACGATAAAATGCGCACCTGTGTTTCCTTATCTTACGCAGCGATAACAAATTTCTTCTCGCTACGACCGGATATAAATGAGAACTTTAACGTTTCACGAAATTCTATCTAATCAATAAAATAAACAAATTAAAAGGCGATTATTTATATATAAATTTAATAAAAAAAATAATTGTATTAAATTATATATATAAATAAATAAACCTCTAAAGCGGATCGAAAAAAGAGGTAGACCACTTCGGTGTGATCCGGGGGGGTCATTGAATTTGACCGGCCTTTTTCAATAGGCTTGTTGCATGTGGTATAGGGATTTTGTTTGAGAACTATTAAGCTGCAGAGCAAAGCGATGCAATCGTTATAGAGGAGTCGATAGTGTCCGTCTGTTCGTGAACACGATTACTGCCAAACACTTGGACCGATTCGTTTCAAACTTTGCACATTTGACCTAGACAAATTCCAATAACATGATAGAAATTGTGTTAATTCTGAATTAACAACCACATCTACGCCCAATGAAAATTGAAATGCATACATAGAGGGTGGCCCATCATTATCATAGGTGGTGAACCCCAATAAAATGTCCACATGGCGTAGGTTACATAACAAAATTTGGGCCCAGAGCATTAGGAGTAATGACGTCATGATATTTTTTAAATTAAATAGCCGGTATTTTAAAGGTTATTTATATTCCTCCGAATAGTTACTGACTTGGTTCAGCTAAATAATTAACAAACATTCAGCTTCAAAACGTAGTAAGACACGATTGCACCATTAAAAGCGTAGCAGTCTCTTTTGTTTTAATTTACGTAGTTTAGAAGATGTCTAATGTTTGTTTATAGCCGCATTGCAATTTGTTTATTTTGTTTATTTAATAGTAAATTACGTGTTATAAGATAATGAATAGTATAATATTTAACAAGTTTATCTCATGTTTTTATCCGGTCGTAGATAAAAGTTGTGCTTATCGCCAAAAGATATTTAATTTTGTAAGCAGATGTGCTTTAGATAAGACATTTTGTTTATTGTAACTAAAAAATTAGAAAGTGGAATCGAAGATGGTGTAGCGGTTTGTCCTGTACTGAACCCTGTTATGGGCAAATACCAAGGTTGAGGACTGTTTAAATTTCTTCTCCACGGGGTAGCTCTAGTCGTAGATACGGAGTCCTTTTCATGAAATATAGTCCAAAAATGTATATACAATTTATTTACATGAGACAAATTATAATGATTGTACAAATTAAAAAAATTATAATTGAAAATATACAATTCAAATTCACAACACTATCGCCATCTAGCGGTAACGGTTAAAGAAGGCGGCAGTGGCTTAACAGTTGTTCAGAGAATGAAATATTTAATCAACCCCATCTCTGTTTTTGCGCCGTGAGTGTTTTCACACTTCCGGGCAACGGTACCTACTGCACAATACCGTGCGATATCTAAATGACGGTTATCGGTAGTGGTTTACACTCCTCCTCCTACACTCCTGGTTCGGACGGAAAGTTATGGTCGAGAGGACGAGTCGAAGGTTCCCAAAACTGTTCCTTATAAAGGCTCTATCTCGGTGGGGATATCTTCAACAGCTGAGAGTAGGGATCTCCACGCATTAATGTATAATAACGCCCTGTCATCTTTTGTTAAAGTTTGACAATTACAGGATTTTCTTAATAACATCTTTAAATAAAAAATTCGAATCTTCTCTTTATAATAGGACAAGAAAGAGAAATGATTTAATAGAAGAAAAAGTGTTAACGTGGTTTTTTGCCGTCGCAGTGTCTTTTGCCGTTCGCCTTTGGTCTTTTCACCTCCCCGCAGTACTTTGGGTGTTGAGTGGATTCGAGTCCATTTTGTCGGATGCAATAAAGACAGTCAGTTTGTGTAGTTATAAGTTTATTGAAGAACGTTAGTTAGTGTCACCTATTCGGAGAAAAGTTTAACGTGTTAAGAAGTACAGAAAATGGGTTCCCAAATTACGATCCCGGATTTAAGAGTTACATGTTAATTGTTTTTGTGAATGACTTTATTGCTATGCAGATGGACAGACGTTTCGTGGGTGAATTAGTGACCGCTTGCCATTGTTCACAGCTTTAATTTTTGGCGCCCAACGTGGGGCGAATTTGTTGTTACGAATTCAATAACAGAAAACATTCACTTTGCAAGAACGTATGATTTATTGGTCTGGTTCTTAAAAGAAACTAAACGCCAACTCAAGTGGTCAGTTACAATTAAATTAGTGGCGTACCTATTTACAGAGGGTAGTGAAAATGTGCAAGACTATTCATAGAAGTAGTTAGAAGAAGAAGGTAATTGATCAATTTAATCATAAATAATATATTCATGATAGGTAGGTACATTATCCAATCATTAATGTGCTTTCATTTATTTTTTGCCATGTACTTCGACCCTTGTCTTTCCTCAAATTTATTTGGCACTATGTGGGACGAAATAATAAATTTTATTACGTTAAATTACCTAACGTATTTATTTGTTTATTCATAAAAACATAAACAGAAGCACAAGCTCTTATTCAACTTAAGTAAGTATACAATGTTCGAAATCGAATAGCAAAAAGTTACAAAAATAGAAACGCGCGTCAATCCTACCACATATTAATGAAGATATGATTGCATCTATGTTTATGACGACTCGATCTTCATGTTGTAGGCATGCATACAGCATGTGTAAAAATAAAAAAAATATCGTGTGACGTTAACTCATTCACTAGCCTCGTTATAAATAGAGTCCACGTGTTGGAACATATAAATTTAGTTGTTTTCGATTATTTGCACTTTATCATTTTCGCGCACCCAGGAATTTAGCACAAACTTGAAATTTTTTATTTTTCAGTTGAACGCCGAATTATTGTTTCCTTCTGTAGGTACAGCTGTTGTCGAGTATTTTTGTTCGTTAAACGTACATCCAAGTCTTGGCACCATTATCTTACTAGTAGTTGGGCTGCGGAACTGTAGGTAGGTACAAATTTATAATTCCCTTTGTATTTAAAAATAATATATTCGTATCCTCTTGCATATACTTCACCGCCCCATCAGCGTTGCGACATGAGAGCGCCGCCATATATGTGTGAGTGTGCAACATTTATTAGAGTCACGGGTGAAACATATGTAGGTTTTCAGAAGGAATTCCAATAAAACTTCTCATTTCCTTGTGAGCTCACTATCGGACGTAGGAAGTATTTCTTTCTCGATACTAGGTACCCTGTACTCATAGCTCTAAATTTACTAACAAACGTTTAACTTTAATTTTTTCGGTGAAGGTTGTAGTGACAGTTATATTTCTGCGGCTGAAATGCCTAGTTCGTACGATTAAATTTCTGGCAAAAATTAGGTCGACGGCTAGCTCGAAATTACCAAATTTTAGCGCAAATTTCTCCCGAGAGGATGAACTGCTTCTTTCGCATCTGAAAATCTATAAATTGTCGGTTTTTCGACACCGCTTGATTCAGTATCAACGAAATAAAAAATCGAAAAGAAAAAGATCATCACTTACCAGCGTAGACCCAACAGAACTACTGCTACCTCCTTCTCCTCACGGGTGTACAAGGCGGTCTATACGAAAAAGGCGAGGGAAGATGCGAGAGCTGTCCCTTCCCCTTACGGGTGTACAAGATCGTTGATACGGAAAAACAAAATGGAACCCTCTCTACGACATTATTCTCTAAGCGCTTTCAAAAATGGTTTTATTAAAGTGTATCCATATGGAAGTGTCGCTTATGTTGTTAATAAGTTGAAGTAAACCCGAGAGTAAACGTAAAATTCTATTATTATACTGATTATACTACTTGTTAAACCCAGCCTCGAACCCAGCATACTTTAGTTTAGAAGTTAACATACCCCCTTACAAAAACTAGCTGTTATTTCTGAAACGGACCAGGTGTTTCAGTTTAGCCAACTTAAGACTAATAAACCATTACGAATGAGGAAATATGACAAGCACTTACAGATAGTAACTGCTTTCACGTTGAGAATGCGTTTTTTAAGTGCCCCTTCCAATCAAAATGATGAAATGTTAATTTAGTTCAGGCACCATTTAATGTGTGCCACAATGGTCTAGTGCAGTGGGTCCCAAACTTCTTCCCATGGCACCCACTTTCTGAAAACTAAAATTGTTCACGCCCTCCTTCCCGATTAAAAAATAAAAACCGCTTGTATTTCTGAAAAAAATTACATGTTATACACTATATATATTATATTATCATTGTTAATTATGGAGACTCGTAAACAGTACGAGATACAAAGCGGCTCAAATTAGCAAAGTTATGCAGAATTTTATCTGATTAATTTTCCCTTTTAAACTTTCTTATGGGTCTACAAATAGCGAAGTTATGACAAAACAAACCGAAAAATATGATTTTCGAGAATGAGCGGGCGTTCATTTATTTTCACAGATGTCAAAAAATAATTTGGCAACATTGTGAAACATCAGTGCTTTCATCACACTGAATTGCATAAAAACGCGAATT